GTTTTCAATTCTCTATTCAACGATGCCAAAACGAATTCTGTGGCTCAAATGGTTCTTGAGAAACTTCGAAAAAAGCAGCGTCATGTTCAAGTGGAAAGTTCACGATCTTTAGCCGACGATTTCTTCCTTAATATTTACCCAAACGCTTTATAAATGCACATTTTTAACGTTCTTACGTCGAAAAGAATCGATTGAGCTCAAAAAACACGCATGTAAAATTTTGATTTTTGAAAATTTTCTAAGGGCAAGGGCCGATTTTTCGAAAAAATTAAAATTTTCTCAAAATGTCTCAAATTTCACGTCATTTTCAGCTCACGGACTGGAGAAATCTGTCGAACTGATTGAAAAACATGCTAGAAATTTCACATTCGAAATAATAGACATTTTGGGCACATTTTAAGGGTTTTTTCAGTGTTTCGATTGAATTTTGATTACGTCGAGATGAATCGATTGAGCTCCAAAAACACGCATGTGAAATTTTGGTTACGTCGAAAGGACTCGATTGAGCTCAAAAAACCACATTTTGAAATTTTGATTTTTGGTCGAAATTTCTCCAATGGTAAGGCCGATTTTTTGAAAAAATTTAAATTTCCTCACTAAGAAATGCAGGGTTAGGTATCAGCTAAAACGTCACTCTTACCCAAAATGCCGACTGAGCTAATACAACACATTCGCCTTTAAATCACATATATGATGGAAAATAGAAGATTTCTACTCCCGTTTTTTCCTATGTGCTTCATAGCTTCCAAACAACATTTGCTGAGAAAACGTTCGTAGCTAGTGGAGGCCTCGTGTGACGAAACTAGCAACCACAAAATCGAAGAAAATGCAATAGAAAATGCATTAAACCAACAAGAACAGCATGACAATTCCTCGTAAGCTAGAAAATGATGGACAATTGATTCAAAGATGGCGAACTAGAGTTGTCAGTGGGGTTTGTGTCCGTTCGAACGATCTTTGATTTCGGATTTATCAGTTAATTAATCCAAATAAAGGGAGCATGAAAGCTTTCGGGTGTTTGTTCCAAGTGGGAAATGCGATTTTCTAGTGTTCGGTGTGTTCACGTTCGGTTCGGTTTTCTCGTCTAGAACAACTGATTGTTGTGAAGGCTGTGAAGTGATTTTTGCAAGGAATTCGGCGACAATCTGGGTGAGCCAGCTATAAGGGTATGATTGCAAGCCATGGGAGCCCAGAATACCAAGGAAAGAACTGTTTCGACTGGAACCCATTCAATTAGGACTGCGAGAAACAGGCCTAGAACTGTGAAAGATGGACGACAGATTGTCTCCAATATTTTCACTGAACACAGTGGTACGTTCATTTCTGCTTCAATCCCATCAAAACTACATTCAGAATACATTAAGATACACATCCGGTGGTTTTATTCGGCAACTAACTCGATGCATAAGCGCAAATCAATTCACTGAACATCAGTGGTGGATTTGGACCTTCAAAGTCACAGTGAACCAGCAGGATCTTCCCTATCATAATCAATATCACACATTCCCTTTATCAAATCAAATGCTTTGATTTTATTCATGCCAACCAACTGGATGGATTGTTCAGTTTGTCCTGACCCAAAACATGTCTCAGCTTGCAGTGGAGTCGGTTAAAGGCTGTTGAATAGTGGAAGAAAGCGTTTTGAAGAACTATTTTCATATTAGGGGTATTTCTGCGTCTTGTGGCAACACAGCTTGAACAAGCAGGAACTTGTCTGTTTACTGCCCATAGGGAGGTTTTTATTCAATTGAATTCAAGAACTTAATTCAATATAAATATTGATTGGCAACCAAAATGCGAAGAAATTGCACTGTTTTTTCCTGTTTATGCATAAGTGAAGCCTTGATTGCAAAGCGCTTTGCCAACAAAATTAAGATTTGCAGTTTTGAAGCAGAAAGTTGCTTTTAAAGTTCGTTGCGAATACTTTCTTGCTTTTGAACCAGGCAACATTGTTTTTACCACAAATCGTAGTGACTCGTTCTGTCCCGGGATTGTTCCGGCAAAGTTTCTTGAACGTATTTTAACAGTTTCTCCACGGTTTGCGACAGCAAAGTGCATTTGGCGCCAATCATTCAACGTCTAAGTACTGGGGTTTTTGGACAAATAAGCAAAAATGTACCCCAACTGCCGCCTTTATGCCGAATTCAATAGAAGTGAGACCAGACTCTTCAATTCCTTGGTGCCAATGTTTTGAACTTGACTTGAGCAAGTCTTTTAGATACAAAAAAACATGGTGTTATCAATGAGTCTTTTACAACAGTTTAGCAGAAATCTTGATTGTTTCACTTCTGGGCCATGACTAATAATTGAATCTAAAAGGAAGTTGATGTAATTAGTTTTGCAATTAGTAGATACGTATAAGCGCGGGTGTAAGTTGGTCACTCGGCTTCTACACGTCTACAAAACGTTGAATTTTCGACGATCGTTTTTTTGCCCTTCGACAATAATCGCGAACTTTTATTATCCTCGATGACTCACCTTTAACGGCGACATACACTGAATTCATTAAAACTTTCGTCAGTATAAGCAATACAGTATTTTCCTATGTAATCAAAGAACGAAACCTTTCACGAACGATGTCTAGCAACGATTTTAGGGTTTAAACGCAAGGAAAGTATATTCATCGCTAATTCTATTGAAGCGTTTCTGCAAATAAAAATTAGAATACCGATATGCGATTAAATGAATCTTGGAGTTTCAGGAAAATTTCAGTTGGTTTGGGTCACAACCTCATCTATTCAAATGGACCAGGAAAGAAACTGGTTGTAAAAATAAATAGTTTAGAGGAATGCCTGCCGGAGGCGATACCAATTTTAAAGCTATTCAGAACGAAAAAGCCATTGCATCATATGATAATGTCGGTTCATAACCCGAGGAGATTCAGCAAGGACGGTCCATGATCAGTTAAAAATCGAATCGATAGTTCCAATTGAATTTACCGCATTGATGGCATTTTTCAATAGAATTTGTTGCTTCTCAGCTGCTTGAACCTGAAAAAAAATACAAGACATTCCTCAAAATAATTAAATACAGAACAACTGCTGTTTTTCTAATGAGTTCGTTTAATTATTGTACTTTATATAATTAGCTGTCTGATAGTTTGCGATTAGTTATTTCCGCGGGATTATTTGTTCGTGATAAGACACACTAATGACATTGTTTAAATGCGTTGTGCTAAAGAACACCGTTTTAAAATTGCATAACTGTTGGCCATAAATGGACGCAAATGAACTAAGTTATTGCCCTCGGAAACAGTACTTGTAGAATTCGACTTTTCGATTTTTAAAGTTTTTTTACTGGACTAGCAACGTTCAATGCGGGTAGTTTAAAGGCACTGTAACTGAACCAATTAAACACTCCTTAGTATTTAAATACCAAATATGGAAAGCATGTTGAGGAAATCTATCACAGTTGTGAAAGTGCCTGCGCAAAAATGACTAGGCTGCACCGTTTCGGAATAAATCAGAAATTAATAAATAATTCCTCTATCTAGATCCAATCTTTATTGGCAATAAGTAACAGTTGTTGGGCGCTAGAAGCATCCACGTCCAACTTTAGCCCAATTACTCGCAGTTAAAAACACAATCAGCCTCCACAATTACGCTCTCGATTTCGTAAACAGAAATAAACGGGAAACGCGTTAACTTAGTGGATACAATGGGCGCATCTTTCCTTCGTGAGGATTGCCACACGCTGCGAACTACTATTGTGTATTTTTATGTCTTTTACCAGGTGTTGCATCCTTGAGCCATTTACAGGAGATTCCAGGCAAACTTTGAAAAATTGCCACAATTAACAAGCACACAATCCCAGGGTTTTAGCCTGCAAAAGACACATCCATGATTTTGACCACCTCTGAAGATGCCAGCCACTTGTGCTGGCGAAACATCGCGAAAAATATGAATGTGTCGTTTGCATGCTAAACCCAACTGATTTTGTACCGCAGTAAATTTGTTACGTAGCCAAAAACCTGCGCTTGTACCATTTATAAAACTTTAGGACAGTTTTGCCCCAAAAAAAAACCCGCGATAAAATACTTTTTGTGTTATTATCCACCCTTAAATAGCAGACTGATCGTCTGCGGACCTTCTGTTCGCACCAGACCCTCAAGCCCGATCGCCCTCCGCATTCTAGGAAATCAGCCCTTATCCCTTCGAATTTTTCGCTTCTGTTTGCTGTCGCCCTTTGAGTCTCGATTGGTCTTGGGGATATTTTCCGTTTTTATCAGGAACATTCATGTTTCAACTTTGATCTCGATCCTAAGAAATGAGGACGTTGAAAAGGAGTTTTGTGCAAAAGCCAAGGAAAAGAGGAAATGTTTCCTATGATGCTCATTGGCGCTTGAATGCCATCAAACTTCTTAGCGGGGAATTAGTTAGATCACGCGTTTGAGCTAGTGGAATTTTACAAAGCAACGCTGAAAAAATATGAATATTAATTAAACACCTTTTTGCGAAAAATCCAGCAAGGTTGCAATGTGAATTGAATTAAAACCGCGGCTAATTTGCCTGCTTAATTAATCAAGAGGCAAATGTTTTATTTATACAATCTGCAGGTAGTTCGGTTCACGAAATTGTGAATCACAAGTGCCTTCACCGAAAGCATTTAAGAGCAGGATGTTTGAAAGATTTTTGGCACGCATTAGAATAGCGAATAATTATTTCTAATAATTGATCCTGCCTTGAAACATCCCAGAATCGGCTATTAACAGTATTTTGACCATTTATATAGCACTTACGGCGGCAAATCGACGGTTTGCGTTTAATTTTTTGTGCTAGACAACAAATTCTATAACTTCTCTTGATTGGTTTCACGCAACCCCAACTGCTAAAGTGCGATGAATCGGAATAAAATTGTCATTATTTGCACATTTCGCCAGATGTTGAAGATCGTTGGCAGGGGGTTGGAATACCATATAGTGGCGTTTGGTTCGAAAATAGTTTGTCTCCGTTATTGTGCCGTTTAGTGACACTGTAAACCTTTAATCTAATCTTGAATTTATGGGATTTAGGTCAAATTTTATCGATCAATGTTTCGAAGATAAACTGGCTGATCGTGGGCTGGAAGATGAAAACATTTAATGCGAGACAGCAAAATGTACTCTTGGAATGCGCTTACAAGCAGCAATTTGTTTCCCGTTAAAAGCGCTATTTATGCATTAGTAGAGCCGAAGACATCGATACTATTGCGTTTTTGTAATATTGTACTGACTGGCCATGCAGGTATCTTATAATATACCTGTACGGCCAGGTTTTATAGAAATAGCAAACCTGTTTGACGAACGTATTAGTGCAAATGTATTGAAATATTTACTAAATTAGGCAGTCGTTCTAGAACTTGTGAAGATTTAGTACAAATTTATAAATAAAATATTTTTTTGTCATCGCATGCATACACCACCATGGTCATTGAACTAATGCGAATATTTATGTTGCAGTCCAGACATCTGTGGGTGTACGAATATTTCGCCTAAATTATATTGTTTCCACAATAAAAGGTTAATGTTTGCTGCGCTGGTTTATTTAATTTTTTATGCATTTTTAACTGCCAGCTTTTTGCAGGTTGATTAGTCAACTTAATTTTGTCTGGCTTTTTTGTTGCTAGAAGCCGATTTCGTTTTCACTCCTAAATTCACTATAATAATAAGAACAAATCCATTCTTCAGTTATTTTTAATTAGGGCCTTGAGGTTCAGTCATCACTCGCATTTATACCTGTTGGGGTTTGGGGTTTTATATTCTAAGCAAATGTGATCTGCTTAATGTGTTTCAGCCCTAAGCTAGTGAATGTATACAAACATGCTAAGGTTAGGCACAACCGACTATTTTTATCTTGGCTTCAGTAAGTTAATTAGTGAATGGAACTAATGGTACATTTTCCAATAGTGGAATTATTCGGGACCCATGGGTGTGTTTCATTAGGCCGCATTTTGAATGGAAGTTGCACAGAAATAAAAACACAAAGTTCTCACCCTGCTTAATAATCAATCATGTTTGGTATCGCCTTTTCACCGTTCGCTCATACTATCAGAACATTATTTTAATTTTTTTTTGTTTCTTTGTAGATCCAGTAGGTCTAATCAAAAAACTTCTTGTTAGAAATGGTGAGTACTCGGAGTTTTCCATACTGTGTTGTTTCTTCCATATATGTTTTCAGCTTTTGTTCACTAATCGTGTGTTTTTTCACCATTTGTTTTCTGCTTTTTAACCATCACGTTAGTTTTAGTCTGCCGAGTTTCACAAAGACGCCTTCAATTCGTTCTGATTTATTTTATCAAGTTTCAATTGATTGTCTTTTATTGATTTTTATCTGAAAATCTGTTTTGGTTGGAAATTGTGCGTTAATTTTTCGTGCATATCCTGCAAACAGTGTGTTTTTGAAATCCTATAAAATCCAATATTTACTGAACAAATTATCATAGAGATTAAGAAATGTTAATTGTTCATTAACAATGACTCTTTAAACAAACCGCACACCGCATGGTGATTATTTATGCGTAAACTGATATCTGTTGGTTGGATATCGGCCTGTTTACATAAGTTATTATCGGTTTTGGGCGCACAAAACGCGATGTTTATTGGGGTTTTAAGTTGCGTTGAATGCACGAAATATTTTGAATCAATCGATGAAACTTCTTGAAGCCGCTCATATGAACTCTTGAAATTGAAGGATTATTTGAAAGTGTTTTAGTGGGCATTTTGGAAAGTTTACTTGACTTCTTCAACACTTTTCCAAACTTCTCGGTACCTAGTAAAAAAAAAGTGCATATTTTTGTTGATTTTTAGGGTTTGGCTTAGTCATCATCCCATTTTTGAAAAGTTTTCTTCTATAATGTTCGGCTCATCCTCGCGTAAAAAATATATATCATTCTCAGTTTCAGAACAAAGAAAAATATGTATCAATTTTTAAACAGAGGGTTTTTTCCAGAAGCCCTGCTGCAAAGTCGACCGCTGCMCCATATTCCGAGCCTCCCAGAATCGGATCCTCCTTCCAGCGGATCGGGAGGAGCGRCCAGCGGACTTGCAGGTTYCACCTTATCGTCCAGCGGTACCAGCGGAGGAGCCGGGGCTTCAACGCCCCTTTCTCTTGAGGCGGCCAATCGCTGGACCTCCAAAGAGAACCTGCTGGCTCAGGAGGAGGACGATCCTCAACTCTTCGTAGCTTTGTACGACTTCCAAGCTGGCGGCGAGAATCAGCTCAGCTTGAAAAAAGGTACTTTTCAAATAGACATGAATTGTGTGTGATTTATGTTTAAACACTAAAACGGTCAAAGGAAACCACTATTTGGCCGGCGTTGGTTATTTGAGAACTTAATTGTGCGAAGATCTATTCTTGCGGTCGACATCTTAAAATAACCGTGTTTCTATTTTTAAGCAACTCTTGCTGGAAAGTCACCTAATTGCTTGGCTGAAAGATCAGCTAAAGACCTTTCCGAGGAAGAAAATTTATTTTCGAAGCGAAGCATGTTTAGTGTCCGTTCTTCGATGATTTGCCGACGAAACGCAATTTATTTGCGATGTAATAACATCACAACTTTGGAGTTCTTTTAGTGCCTTTATTAATTCCTTTTTGTTTTTAACCAAACCAGTTAATAAATGCTTCCGATTCTGAACGTCTGAAACGATCTTAGCGCAAAGCAAATTTCTCATTGGAGAACGTTCAAACATTGCAAATTAATGTAATGGAATTCGTTTTTTCCAAGTCCAACATTTAAGTCCTAATCTCTATCATCTTTAATAACGTTTGCCACAAAGCAGCAGCTTCGAAATCCGCAAGTCATTCAAAGTAACTTAACAGCACTTAAGACTGGCTGGTGGTCGGAAGTGCGAGCGCATTCAAAGGCATTTTGCG